TTTACAGTGTGTGGTGTGTGCACAGTGTGTGGTGTGTGTACAGTGTGTGGTGTGTGCACAGTGTGTGGTGTGTGTTTACAGTGTGTGGTGTGTGTTTACAGTGTGTCGTGTGTGTTTACAGTGTGTCGTGTGTGTTTACAGTGTGTTGTGTGTGTGTTTACAGTGTGTCGTGTGTGTTTACAGTGTGTGGTGTGTGTTTACAGTGTGTGGTGTGTGTTTACAGTGTGTGGTGTGTGTTTACAGTGTGTCGTGTGTGTTTACAGTGTGTGGTGTGTGTTTACAGTGTGTGTGTGTTTACAGTGTGTCGTGTGTGTTTACAGTGTGTGGTGTGTGTTTACAGTGTGTGGTGTGTGTTTACAGTGTGTGGTGTGTGCACAGTGTGTGGTGTGTGTACAGTGTGTGGTGTGTGCACAGTGTGTCGTGTGTGTACAGTGTGTGGTGTGTGCACAGTGTGTGGTGTGTGTACAGTGTGTGGTGTGTGTACAGTGTGTGGTGTGTGCACAGTGTGTCGTGTGTGTTCACAGTGTGTGGTGTGTGTTTACAGTGTGTGGTGTGTGTTTACAGTGTGTGGTGTGTGTTTACAGTGTGTGGTGTGTGTTTACAGTGTGTCGTGTGTGTTTACAGTGTGTGGTGTGTGTACAGTGTGTGGTGTGTGTGTACAGTGTGTGGTGTGTGTTTACAGTGTGTGGTGTGTGTGTTTACAGTGTGTCGTGTGTGTGTGTACAGTGTGTGGTGTGTGTACAGTGTGTGGTGTGTGTGTTTACAGTGTGTGGTGTGTGTGTTTACAGTGTGTGGTGTGTGTGTACAGTGTGTCGTGTGTGTGTGTACAGTGTGTGGTGTGTGTTTACAGTGTGTGGTGTGTGTTTACAGTGTGTGTGTGTGTACAGTGTGCCGTGTGTGTGTACAGTGTGTCGTGTGTGTGTTTACAGTGTGTGGTGTGTGTGTTTACAGTGTGTGGTGTGTTTACAGTGTGTGGTGTGTGTGTTTACAGTGTGTGGTGTGTGTGTACAGTGTGTGGTGTGTGTCATCTGGAGGCTGTCTCCGTGTTGAGAAGAGCATCAGTTTACAGATATTGAACGGAGTTTCACAGATATTCATTTTTCTGAGCAATAGAGAGATTGATTCTTCACCGCATATGGAGAGAGAAACCGCTGGGGAGAACGTGACCAGATTTGGGTTGTTTTGTTTTACAAGCAATGGGTCAAATAAGGACAAAACATTTTTCTTTTTTTTTTAACATTCAGAGAACATTCAACAGTTTTGGGATAATGTGTTCATTTATGCTAGTTCATCTTTACAGGAATACCAGCTTATTTTTCACCTCATACACGGGTTAATATTTGCAGATTAACTCTATTAATTTTCTAAAATACATTACACAACCATTTTTACACAATATGTGTTTTATTTAGAAAGAAAACCGTTTTAAATACAGCATATTTTATACAGGTTTTATTCATGCATGCAATATTTTTGAAATAAACATTTAAACATTTAAAAGTATTGTTTTGTTTCAAGTGAAATCTACCGTTACACACTGAAATGTTGCTGGATCTTGTTGCCACTTTTGGAGAGTTTTCATCAGCAATACAACACTGACACTTCCTGAAGTGTGTGTGTGCGTGTGTGTGTGTGTTTGTGCGTGCGCGTGTGTGTGTGTGTGTATCTCACGCTCTCTCTTCACAGCCTCTGGGTGTTTCGGCTGGTTCTCCCGCTACAAATAACTCCTTGATCTGTGCAGACGTTGTTCAAAGGCCCTGAGTGTGAAGAGCTGTTTCTGTTGCGTTTCATTCACTCCAGCACAGATTTATTCAGCGGCGCTGTGTGTGATTCTCTCCAGCGCAGGAACGGCTGTTATACATGAAACTCACTGTGGGGATGTTTGCCCTCGACTCCAGCGCTGTTTAGAGGAAACCTGAGGAACACACATAGAGCAGCTTATCTGTGGGACACACACACACACACACACTCAATGTCTCACACACACACACACACTGTCACACACATACACTCACTTTGACACACACACACTCACACTCACACACACACACACACACTCACACACGCACACACACTTTCACACACATACACTCACTTTGACACACACACACACACAAAGACACACACACACACAATCACTGTCACACACACAGAAACACTCTCACACACACACGCACACACACACCCTCTCACTGTCTCACACACACACACACACACTCGCTGTCTCTCTCACACACACACACACTGTCTCTCACACACACACTCACTGTCACACACACACACACACACACACTGTCTCACACACACACTCACTGTTGCGCACACACACACACACACACTCACTGTCGCACACACACACACACACACACTGTCTCACACACACACTCACTCTCACACACACTCACTGTCTCACACACACACACACACACACACACACACAGACACAGACACACTCACTGTCTCACACACACACACACACACACTCACTGTCGCACGCACACACACACACACACACACTGTCTCACACACACACACACTGTCTCACACACACACACACTGCACTTCTAACAGGGTTTATCGTGAGGTCAGCATAAACCAGACGTCAGTGATGTGAACCGCGCACTAGCAGAACAAGCACTCACAGGAAACACATTCAGAGGAGGTTAATGTTTCATGAGAAGTATTTCCATATGGATGAATCTCCAGGCCACATTCCACACAAAAACACAAATTGTTTATTATTATAAATAATGTCTGTGATCATTACATTTACACATGTGCCAGACGCTTCTATCCAAAGTGACTTTCAAGGTACAAATTGCATCAGTTTTTTAACATTTAATCATTTTGCAGATGCTTTTATCAAAAGCGTCTTACAAAGAAGAAGAGCAATAGAAGCAGTGAAACTAACAATAGGACAATAACTGCTGTGACCCTTCCCAGTTTAGTCTAATGCAGTATATGTATTTTTTTTTTTTTTTTTTTTTTTTTATTAGATATAGAGTAGAAGAGAAGAGATAAGAAAGTGTTGGTATTAATGGGTCCAGTGGCACATAAGTCATGAGTTTTGAGTAATGAGTTCCAGAGGGTGTTCTGCAGACTAACATCAGTGTCTTGATTTTGATGCGAACGGCAACTGGAAACCAGTGCAATCGTCACGAGGAGAGGATAACTTTTTTTTTATAGAACTTTATTTATCCATTAGGAACTTCATTCGTGCTGAGCATCAATGCGTGTACGGCTCCTCAAACACACCACACACAGTTCTATATAAATAAATAATAAGTAATAACTGAAGCTTGCAAAGTACAATAAATACATGATAAATAGGGAGTAAACATTAAAAAGGTTGCGTTAAAAATAGATAAAGAAAGAAAGATAAATCACGAATCCGCACACACGGACGTACATCTTGGTGAATAAATGTATCAACCATTCATGTTTCTAATGGATGTGGGGACAAAACTTGTCATCTATCTATCTATCTATCTATCTATCTCTCTATCTATCTATCTATCTATCTCTCTATCTATCTCTCTATCTATCTATCTACATCTCTCTATCTATCTCTCTATCTATATATCCATCTATCTATCTACATCTCTCTCTCTATCTCTCTCTATCTACATCTCTCTATCTCCATCTATCTATCTACATCTCTCTATCTATCTCTCTATCTATCTATCTATCTATCTACATCTCTCTATCTCTATCTATCTCTCTATTTATCCATCTATCTACATCTCTCTATCTCTCTCTATCTATCTCTCTATCCATCTATCTATCTATCTACATCTCTCTATCTCTATCTCTCTATCCATCTATCTATCTATCTATCTACATCTCTCTATATCTCTCTATCTATCCATCTATCCATCTATCTATCTATCTACATCTCTATCTATCTATCTATCCATCTATTTATAAATCTATCTACATCTCTCTCTCTCTCTCTCTCTCTCTCTCTCTCTCTCTCTCTCTCTCTCTCTCTCTCTCTCTCTCTCTCTCTCTCTCTCTCTCTCTATCTATCTATCTATCTATAGTGGCTGTGCATTTTGTGCACAATGTTCTCCAAGGTTCCTGGCTGACCTTGATGGAGTTATGGATGACGAACCTACAGCTGAATGGACAAGTTGTGATAAAGTGTTGCGTTGGCTAAGACCACGAGCAGTTCTGTCTTCGCAAGGTTGAGTTGAAGGTCTTAGTCGTTCACTAAGCTGAACAGCCAATCAGAGATCCCTCTTTCACAGATGGCGCGACATGTTAAAAAACTACGTCGGCCGACGCTCAAAAACGGCTCAATGTTGCCCGACTGCTTGGTGTGTCCCGGGCTGTAATGTCTGTCAGGCGGGCTGAGATGCGAGCCGTCAGATCCTCTGGTTGGAATGAGAGGTAGAGTTGTGTGTCGTCAGGATAACAGTGATAGGAAAACCATGTTTCTGAATGACAGAGTCGAGGGATGACATGTAGATGGAGAAGAGAAGCGGTCCCAGCACTGAGCCCTGAGGCACTCCAGTAGCTAGATGGTGCGACTGTAAGAACATGTGTGCCATCAAATATCTGAGTTATGTTTAATTGTCATTATTCAAAGATTAAAACAGTAATTCTTACTGAATTGCACAATTAAAATGACAGTAGTAGACCGGCACAAATACATTTACAGCAGGAACAATTTTTAGTTTCTATCGAACTACAAAAAAGGAGACGTAAAACAAATGAATAGTAAAAAAATATTAATTCTTATATGTATATCAGTGCTGTCAAATGGATTAAGCATAAAAGTTAGTAAATATATATATATATATATATATATTATTTTCTAAATGAGGAGAATCAGTTTAAGGCTGTAAGTGTCCTCTGTCACACTGAACATTGTGTTTAGTGCAAATTAAGATGTAATTCACAGCTATTACTGTCTGAAATAAACTGGTAGAGAGACATCTGCTGTTCGCTAAAACGTTCGTGTGTGTGTGTGTGTGTGTGTGTGTGTGTGTGTTCAGTCCAGCCTCACATCACTCAGCTGAGGAACGTGACGGCCGTGGAGGGAAACGCTGCGATGATCTCCTGTACGGCTGAAGGAGAACCGTTGCCTGAGATCTCCTGGAGGAGAGCCAGTGATGGACAGACCTTCACAGACGGAGATAAGGTGAAGAACACACACACACACACACACACACAAACCTTGAAGCTTGATGGAAGCAGATCTGTCTCATTAATAATTCACGCAAAAAACATGATGCACACATGCATAGCCAATTCCACATGCATGAAACCAAACTTCACGTCCACAAAAAACAATTCACGTGCATGAAAAAGTATATATATTCATAAAAAGCAATTCACGTGCGCAAAATAAAACACATTTCACAAATGCAAAACGCAATTCGTAGATATAACTGTACACAAACACTTTCGAATGTTTATGAGTTTATCCTTGAATGTGCAAATCGTCACTCGCGCGTGAATCGCCTTGGATTTGTGTGTTAGTGTTTGTGCACAGTTATATCTACGAATTGTGTTTTGCACTTGTGAAATGTATTTATGAATATATAATTTTATTTTGCGCACATGAATTGCTTTTTATTACATTTTTTTTTCATGCATGTGAATTGTTTTTTGTGCACATGAATTTGGTTTCATGTATGTGAAATTGGCTACGCATGTGTGCATCATGTTTCTTTTTGCGTGAATTATTAATGAGACTGTTCTGGCTCCATAAAGTTCTGTCATCGTGAAAGCGTTTCAGAATTGCCTGTCTCTTTAAATGTCAGTTATCGAGTCGGCTGCTCAGTGGAAGTGACAGTGATCATGAAGCTCCTCCTGTTTATAATCACTAGCACAGGCCATTTTTCTGATGATTTCATCATTACAGAACTCAGGTAGATGACAGCTCCTCAGAGTCTTGTCCAGCATTGTGGAGATAATCACGGGTGTTCAGTCGAGTGTGTGTGGAGATAATCACGGGTGTTCAGTCGAGTGTGTGTCAGCCACGCCTCCGGCTCCCACTCGTTTCCCTCCAACATAGCAACATCCTGTTCAGAAGCTGCTGATGTACACACACTGTATCTGTCTGTCTGTCCGCTGATGTACACACACTGTATCTGTCTGTCTGTCCGCTGATGTACACACACTGCATCTGTCTGTCTGTCCGCTGATGTACACACCCTGTATCTGTCTGTCTTTCCGCTGATGGACAAACACTGTATCTGTCTGTCTGTCCGCTGATGGACACACACATGAGAAACTAATTGAGCTACATTTATGAATCCAGTGTGGAACAATTGTGCCTCCAGAGCATCTATCTATCTATCTATCTATGACTATAGTGGTTGTGCAGTTTGTGCACAATGTTCTCCAAGGTTCCTGGCTGACCTTGATGGAGTTATGGATGACGAACTTACAGCTGAATGGACAAGTTGTGATAAAGTGTTGGGTTGGCTAAGACCACGAGCAGTTCTGTCTTTGCAAGGTTGAGTTGAAGGTCTTGGTCGTTCACTAAGCTGAACAGCCAATCAGAGATTCCTCTTTCACAGGCGGCCCAAAATGTTGAATCGGCCCAAAAAAACACGACTAGAGCCAACAGTGTGCGGAACACACCGGAAAAACTACGGCGGTCGACGCTCAAAAACATCCCAATGTTGCCCGACTGCTTGGCTGTAATGTCTGTCAGGCAGGCTGAGATGCGAGCTGTATATATATATCTACACTATATTGCCAAAAGTTTTGGGATGCCTGCCTTTACATGCACATGAATTTTAATGACATCCCATTCTTAATCGGTAGGGTTTAATATGGAGTTGGCCCACCCTTTACAGCTATAACAACTTCAACTCTTCTGGGAAGCCTTTCCACAAGGTTTAGGAGTGTTTTTATGGGAATTTTTGGGAACACCCAAAGATGTTCTATGGAGACGTGTTCTCTGGAGTGACGAATCATGCTTCTCTGCCTGGCAATCCGATGGACGAGTCTGGGTTGGCGGTTGCCCGGAGAACGGTACTTGCCTGACTGCATTTCTCCAAGTGTAAAGTTTGGTGGAGGGGGGATTATGGCGTGGGGTTGTTCGGTGGAGGGGGGATTATGGCGTGGGGTTGTTCGGTGGATGGGGGATTATGGCGTGGGGTTGTTCGGTGGAGGGGGGATTTTGGCGTGGGGTTGTTCGGTGGAGGGGGGATTATGGCGTGGTGTTGTTCGGTGGAGGGGGGATTATGGTGTGGGGTTGTTCGGTGGAGGGGGGATTATGGCGTGGGGTTGTTCGGTGGAGGGGGGATTATGGCGTGGGGTTGTTCGGTGGAGGGGGGATTTTGGCGTGGGGTTGTTCGGTGGAGGGGGGATTATGGCGTGGGGTTGTTCGGTGGAGGGGGGATTATGGCGTGGGGTTGTTCGGTGGAGGGGGGATTATGGCGTGGGGTTGTTCGGTGGAGGGGGGATTATGGCGTGGGGTTGTTCGGTGGAGGGGGGATTATGGCGTGTGGTTGTTCGGTGGATGGGGGATTATGGCGTGGGGTTGTTCGGTGGAGGGGGGATTATGGCGTGGGGTTGTTCGGTGGAGGGGGATTATGGCGTGGGGTTGTTCGGTGGAGGGGGGATTATGGCGTGGGGTTGTTCGGTGGAGGGGGGATTTTGGCGTGGGGTTGTTCGGTGGAGGGGGGATTTTGGCGTGGGGTTGTTCGGTGGAGGGGGGATTATGGCGTGGGGTTGTTCGGTAGAGGGGGATTATGGCGTGGGGTTGTTCGGTGGAGGGGGGATTATGGCGTGGGGTTGTTCGGTGGAGGGGGGATTATGGCGTGGGGTTGTTCGGTGGAGGGGGGATTATGGCGTGGGGTTGTTCGGTGGAGGGGGATTATGGCGTGGGGTTGTTCGGTGGAGGGGGGATTATGGCGTGGGGTTGTTCGGTGGAGGGGGATTATGGCGTGGGGTTGTTCGGTGGAGGGGGGATTATGGCGTGGGGTTGTTCGGTGGATGGGGGATTATGGCGTGGGGTTGTTCGGTGGAGGTGGAGGGGGGATTATGGTGTGGGGTTGTTCGGTGGAGGTGGAGGGGGGATTATGGTGTGGGGTTGTTCGGTGGATGGGGGATTATGGCGTGGGGTTGTTCGGTGGAGGGGGGATTATGGTGTGGGGTTGTTCGGTGGAGGGGGATTATGGCGTGGGGTTGTTCGGTGGAGGGGGGATTTTGGCGTGGGGTTGTTCGGTGGAAGGGGGATTTTGGCGTGGGGTTGTTCCGTGGATGGGGGAATATGGCGTGGTGGGGTTGTTCGTTGGAGGGGGGATTATGCCGTGGGGTTGTTCGGTGGAGGGGGGATTATGGCAAGGGGTTGTTCGGTGGAGGGGGGATTATGGCGTGGGGTTGTTCAGTGGAGGGGTAATTATGGCGTGGGGTTGTTCGGTGGAGGGGTGATTATGGCATGGGGTTGTTCGGTGGAGGGGGGATTATGGCGTGGGGTTGTTCGGTGGAGGGGGGATTATGGCGTGGGGTTGTTCGGTGGAGGGGTGATTATGGCGTGGGGTTGTTTGGTGATTATGGTGTGGGGTTGTTCGGTGGAGGGGGGATTATGGTGTGGGGTTGTTCGTTGGAGGGGGGATTATGGCGTGGGGTTGTTCAGTGGAGGGGGGATTATGGCGTGAGGTTGTTCGTTGGAGGGGGGATTATGGCGTGGGGTTGTTCGGTGGAGGGGTGATTATGGCGTGGGGTTGTTCGGTGGAGGGGGGATTATGGCGTGGGGTTGTTCGGTGGAGGGGGGATTATGGCGTGAGGTTGTTCGTTGGAGGGGGGATTATGGCGTGGGGTTGTTCGGTGGAGGGGGGATTATGGCCTGGGGTTGTTCGGTGGAGGGGGGATTATGGTGTGGGGTTGTTCGGTGGAGGGGGGATTATGGTGTGGGGTTGTTCGGTGGAGGGGGGATTATGGCGTGAGGTTGTTCGTTGGAGGGGGGATTATGGTGTGGGGTTGTTCGGTGGAGGGGGGATTATGGCGTGGGGTTGTTCGGTGGAGGGGGGATTATGGTGTGGGTTGTTCGTTGGAGGGGGGATTATGGCGTGGGGTTGTTCGGTGGAGGGGGGATTATGGTGTGGGGTTGTTCGGTGGAGGGGGGATTATGGTGTGGGGTTGTTCGGTGGAGGGGGAATTATGGTGTGGGGTTGTTTTTCAGGGGTTGGGCGTGGCCCCTTAGTTCTTTGGACAATAACCCCTAAGACATTTTGGACAATTTCATGCTCACAACTTTGTGGGAACAGTTTGGGGATGTTCCTGTTCCAACATGACTGCTCACCAGTGCACAAAGCAGGTCCATAAAGACTGGCCTGACCTCAACCCCATAGAACACCTTAGGGGATGAATTAGAGCGAAGACTGCGAGACGGGGCTTTTTGTTTTTACAAATGCGCTTCTAGAAGAATGGTCAAAAAATGGTCAGACTCGTCCATCGGATTGCCAGGCAGAGAAGCGTGATTCGTCACTCCAGAGAACACGTCTCCACTGCTCTAGAGTCCAGTGGCGGCGTGCTTTACACCACTGCATCCGACGCTTTGCATTGCACTTGGTGATGTTAGGCTTGGACGCAGATGCTCGGCCATGGAAACCCATTCCATGAAGCTCTCTTCACACTGTTCTTGAGCTAATCTGAAGGCCACACAAAGTTTGGAGGTGTGTAGCTATTGACTTCGTTGGCGACTTCTGCGCACTGTGATCCTCAGCATGCGCTGACCCCGCTCTGGGATTGTACGTGGCCTACCACTTCGGGGCTGAGTTGCTGTTGTTCCCAATTGCTTCCACTTTGTTATAATACCACTAATAGTTGACCGTAGAATATTTAGTAGTGAGGAAATTTCACGAATGGACTTATTGCACTGGTGGCAACCTTTCCCGGTACCACGCTTGAATTCACTGAGCTCCTGAGAGCGACCCATTCTTTCACAAATGTTTGTAGAAGCGTCTGCATGCCTAGAACTCGATTTTATACAACTGTGGCCATGAAAGTGATTGTAAACCTGAATTAAATTATTTGGAGGGGTGTCCAATACTTTTGGCAATATATCTACGTCTGTCTGTCTGTCTGTCTGTCTGTCTGTCTGTCTGGCTGTCTATCTATCTATCTATCTATCTATCTATCTATCTATCTATCTATCTATCTATCTGTCAATTTGCTTCTCTGTCGTCCTCTCCTCTGTTCTCTGTGTGCTGTGGTTGTCGTGTCTCACTGAGACCTCAGTCGCATATCAAACAGTTAGGAAGCATCTGCCCAAGGCGAGATGGTGTCAGACACACACACATACAGAGAGAGAGAGAGAGAGTCTGCAGTTTTTAGTCACTGATCAGTTTCTGGGATCTGCTTACAGGCCAGCTCTCCAAAATAATTATTATTTGGAGGTCATGACACCACAGAATGAGAAATATGGTTCTGGCAACTGCTTTTATTAGTTGTTTATTAGAATCATTCAGTCGGAAAGGTGGTTTTTCACGATGCATTTTTGTTTTCATGCAGGCAGAGCTTCTGTAGTTTATATTCATGTGCTTGTGTTCACGGGAATAATTGGTTGTGTGTTTGTGTATATGTGTATTAAAGATTTATTGGTTAAAATACATACTGTGGTGTTTACTTGTTAAGTCACTTGTAGTAGTGCTCATAGCAAACACCTACTGAACCACATCTTAGAAACTAGCAATGTATTAAAAGAAAACCCACTCATTTTGCACCGCAGCAACCTTATACCACAAACACCCTAGCAACCACATAGCAACACAACGAAGTTCAGTCATAGCACCCTAGCAACTGCATAGCAACTGCAAACAACACTCTAGCACAGGCAATCTCCACTCATATTTATTTTCAGTAAATGTGAGCATGTGAATGTGTTTTCATCATGTTCTCCGGGCGTGGAAACACCAGGAGCATGTGCGTCAGCTCTCGCTGTCCGTGTAGAAATGAATCTCATGCATTAGTGTGAAGGAAGGGAAGCCTTTGGGTCTCGGTTCAGCTAGCCTACAATAACGGCCCCTGTCAAATAAAACGCACATTCGCTCCAGGACTGTCAGGCGCTGCACTCTAGACTCCGAGGCATCAAGCGGAGGGTTGGACACATATCGATTTTTCAGGGAAAGCGAAGAACACTGATCATTAAAGTGGGCGTTGGGGGACGAGCTCCATCGAATCCCCTTATATTCACAGTCCCCTATCTCACCGCAAGCACAGATAGTGTGTCCACATTACAGCTGATCAACTCAATATTAGTTTCCTGTTTTCCTCTGATTTTCTGATATGATTCTGTCAGGGCTATTCCAGTTCACTTAAACTAAAACTAGGGATGCACCGATGTATCGGCCAATAATCGGTATCGGCCGATTAAAGCAATCATGTTCACTATCGGCCGATTGTTTAAAAACAGCTAATGATCAGGGCCGATTATATCCTGTTAATCAAAAGGGGGCGGAAAAACATGTTCAGACTGCAACTCATACTGTGTGTGAATAACATCTCTCTTGTGTTCAATTTAGGGTGAGTTAACATGTCAATAACACATTAACTGTTATAAATAGCGAGGTTAAATCAAGCTCTATTTGACCCTATCAATCACCCGTAGTTCAGTGTTGCATGTCTGCAGTTTTTCCCTACACCGAACATTATTTGTAGCGCATCTCCCATCAAATAATTGCTTTATTAGTGAGCAGTGAGACAGCCTAACTTTGACCATGTTTATTGATACTTAAAGCCCCCCTTAAAGCTCATCTTTGATCACCAAAATGACATATTTAAACTTTTTTTTCCTTGAAAAAAATGTCTTCATGCTTTAAAATAGTTTGAATGTAACTAGACACCCTTGCCTTATTTAGTATGCGCGGTTCTATGAATATGCAAATGAGCCCCGCCTCCACTCACTCACTCAGCTCAGAGATCCACTGGTTGACGATCACACGTTGATCTGATTGGTTACAAGGTCGTTTGTGACGTCAGAAACACCAGCGATTTCAAACCGTGTCTTTGGTTCACTGCAGTTTTAAGCAGAAAATACTCAGCAATGCTGTCGACTTATGAATTTACACACGGTTTGTCTTAAAGCATATTAAAAATACCACATAGACATATAAACAACATTAAAAACTTGATTTTTAACACAGGGGGACTTCAATACCTTGGCCAAGTTGCCCAAGCAGAAATAAATAAAGACTAAAAAGGGTCCTAAAACAGAGCCCTGAGGTACGCCAGTAGAAACTGGTCCAATATCAGACCTGTATTCCCCTAAAGAAACAAACTGTCTGCGTCCGGTCAAATAAGATCTAAACCAATTTAAAACAGCGCCAGAAATACCTAAAATAATATACAGTAGTCAACATTTGAAGTGGATCAAAAAAGTTAATCAAAGTTGTCCTAAGATCGGGTATTGTTCAAAATTCATGTATAACTTTGATGAAAGTTTTTGATCCACTTCAAATGTTGACTACTGAATATTAATAATGGCAAAACACACAACTAAATTGCTAAAACTAAACTAAAATTGTAAAAATGGGTACGTTTTGCTAATGTGGATTGATTTGTTTGTGTTGGTTTAGAGTCAGGACGGCCGTGTGGAAGTGCGTGGACGGCACGGAAAATCCATGTTGACCATCAGCGGCGTTCGACTCTCAGACTGGGGCCGGTTCGACTGTGAAGCTCTCAGCAGGATCGGAGGTCATCAGAAGAGCATGTTCTTGGATATCGAGTGTAAGATGCACAAAAAACGTTCTCACCAAGCATTGTTGTTCTTATGCAGGGATGTTTGTGCAAGCTTCTGTATACATGCTTTTCAGAATACAAAATACATGCGTTGGTGTCGATCATCACTAGAAGTACAGGTGAAAAAATTATGCAAAAGTTCATTTATTTCAGTAATTCAACTTAAAAGGTGAAACTAATATATTATACAGACTCATGCAAAGTGAGATATTTCAAGCCTTTATTTGTTATAATTTTGATGATTATTGCTTACAGCTTATGAAAACCCCAAATTCAAAATTTGAATATTGTGAAGCTGTAATCTATAATCATCAAAATCATTGAAATATCTCACTTTGCATGTAATGAACTTTTGCACGATATTCTAATTTGTCGAGTTTCACCTGTATTTCATAGCAAACACCTACTGTACAACATCCTAGCAACCACATAGCAACACAAAGAAGTGAATATTAAGCCAAAGTAGCAGCAACTTCTCTGTAGCCTTTCCAGTGTATGTTTCGCTTAATTAATTATTTTACCCCACTTGAAATTAATGATTCTGAGTATCCTACACAAAAGGATAAACGGCCCTCAGTGGGGCTAATTATGGAAGGAATTCTTCCAGAGTAATTAATTCCTCATGTTCGTATTAATTTCCAGGCCCGTCTCCTGAAATGCCAAACCGTTGTTGGGGTCACTCGTTGTCAAACCTGACCTTCGTAGATATCCGTTTTTATTGCTTCAAATTCACTTGTCGTTGTTTCGTTCATTAGGCTAACATTGCACATTAATGCCACTGTGAAACTGCATCTGTCACAATCGCAGAAATGCAGTGAGATGCTAATGAAAGGCCTTGAATGCGCGGCGCTGACCTTGATATCACCGCGCCGTGATGCGTCGTCATGTCATATGCTTAGCGTGGAGGTTCACGGCCAACGGGTGAAAAAGGACGTTCTGAATGAGCGTGGCAGGAGCTAGCCAACCGTTACCGGGCTGCTAATGAACTCATTTATTTAGTACAGCCGCTCTTCTCTGCGCGGCTCCTTAGATGTGACAGTGAGCCCAGCATCAATCTCTCTAATAGAAACCTTCTAGTCGGCGTAAAACAGGATAACGCTGAATGAATGCGGACACCCTCAGCGCTTAAACTGAAGCACTGGATCAGTTTTAGGTCTGAGGAAAATGCATTTAATCTTTATGACTTGCATCTGTTTACCGCAGACGCATCTGACGTAATGGAGTGAGACTGTAAAGTCTTTCTTTGTTGCAATCAACATTACTCTTCTTTAAAGGCCGTTTCACACGGTTCACATCAGCATTCCCAAGTGCACTAAAATACATGGAAAGAAATTGCATGTTTAGGCCAGTGTTATTTTATTCATTGTTATTAATATTTTTTATATATGTACATTTATTGTTTATATTAATTAACTTATTAATATATTTGTATTAATATTTTGAATTTTTTATTTTATATTTACCTTTTTATTACTTTAAATATACATATATATATATATATTAGGGCTGTCAAATGATTAATCACGATTAATCACATCCAAAATAAAAGTTTTTTTTACATAATATATGTGGGTGCACTGTGTATAATTATTTTGTATATATATAAATACACACACATGCATGTATATTTAAGGAAAAAAAAAAATATTTATATATAAAATATTTATATTTATATATAATATAAATTATATATAAATCTATATACAGTATATACATGAAAATATTTCTTAAATATATACAAGCATGTGTGTGTATTTATATATTTAAAATAATTATACACAGTCCACCCACATATATTATGTAAAAAAAACTTTTATTTTGGATGTGATTAATCACGATTAATCATTTGACAGCCTCTAATATATATTTTAATAATGTATTTTTTTTTAAAGTTACCAACTTTTTTGATGGTTTTACTTTTAGTATTAGTTCATTAGTTTGTATTAGTGTATATACTGTATATATATATATATATATATATATAAATATTAATATTTTGAATTAGTTTTAAGATTTTTTATTTTTATTTTATTTGTTTTATTTTATTAATAATTTTATGAATTAATATTTATTTGTTTTAGTAATTTAGTTGTGTGTTTTTGTCGTTTTTATTAGTCTTTGGTTTTTTAAAATGTCTATACAGTTTTTATTAATTTTTATTTCAGTTTTAGTCATTTTATTCCATCAAATTATTCTAAATGAATTTGATAAATGTGAATGATGAAGCTTTTTATATTTTATTTTATTTTATTTCACTTATATGAACTTGGTTTTACTTTTGGTTTTGAATTAGTATATAATATATATATATATATATATATATATATATATATATATGTGTGTGTGTGTGTGTGTGTGTGTGTGTGTGTGTGTGTGTGTGTGTGTGTGTGTGTGTGTATATATATATGTAATACTTTTCATTGTGTGACACACTGCTTGACATGTTATGCTTGTGTTAAAGCCCTGATGGACGACATTTGAATGAGCCTTTATTTTTACTTTCGAAACAAGCTTCTAATTGTTGGTTTTACGTGGTTTCTGCCCAATCTCCACTGAAAAAAAGCCTAAAATCCAATCACTCAGAAATTGCTTGTAAATTTCACATCCAAGTACAAAGAAACAGCATGTAACATTGAATTAAATGTGACATTTTGAAGTAGAAAAACTGAAATTGTTTTATTGATCAGCTGGATAGTCTAAAAACCGGCTTGAACACTTTAGTTTCTGCCAGTATTGAATCTCTGTTTCTCCTTTTCCAGATGCGCCGAAGTTCCAGACTAATCAGACCATCTTCTACTCATGGGAGGGAAACCCAGTGAACATCAGCTGCGACGTGAGGGCCAATCCTGCAGCCACGATGCTGTGGAGACGAGACCGCTTCACCATCTCCAGTCAAGGGACCAGCAACATTCGCATCCACACTGCAGAGGGACGATCGCTTCTGGAGGTTCAGTTATATCACACTCATGCACTTTAAAGATACAATATGTTTGTTTGTTTTTCGCCGCTAGGGGTCGCTAACCTCTTACAATAACACAGGCGTAGGTTGATGACGCAGTGATAAGCAGAATCATGGAACTTGCCGTCATGCCGATGGATCTAATAAGTTTATGGATGAGTGCAAACATTGATGTTTTTAACATGACTGTGGCGTGTGAAGCAGAGTGCGATTGCTAATGATGAGAGATAGCGCCACACGCGAGTCCCCAATTATAAAGGAATGAGGATATTTAATTCTACTGAACTAACTTACCCGCAAGTGCTGAATTACTACTCACACAGGTCAGTTTATATGACGAATTAAACTTGTGAGGTAACGCTGTTTCACTTGGTCTAACGTAAGACTATACTAAACTGCATTTGAGTGTGTTGAAAGTTATAATGTTATTCTATGTGTTAGTTTGTTGGCTATATGAGACTAGCAGTGAGCTAGATCAACATTAAAATAACATACTGATCATATTATAATACTCAGTGTTGTGCCTGAACGCGTTCATTGAACGCCTTTTGAACATTGAACGACTGTGAACTGAACTTTGAACTAGTTCATGTAGAAAGTGAACTTTCCCAACACTGATAACATTGTTGTTATAACATGTTGAGCTATATAACATTGATTAGTTTTATGTACATTTGCTCACCTGTCTAATAAAGCTCATGCGAGAGCGGCGTCTCTGTCGAGTCGAAGTTAGTCGCGGATGCTAGCTCTCGACATCTCGAAAACGCCACGCCGATATTGATCCTCGTTTTAGTTCTCCTTTTGTCCCAAAGTCTGCTTGCCACGGTCCATAATGTTTGAATGAAACAACAACAGTGTGAGCGCGCCGCTAGACGTAACGCAGTTGTCCACGTCTGTCGCCATGGTTACTATGGCAGTGCGAGCGGAAACCAGGGATAACGCGGATATTACGTCATTGACAGGCAACAAGTGAACAGGGACGGGCACTATTTAAAATTGTGAATTTCTCTGAATGTACGAATTTTTGGAAACATTTAGGATAGTGGAAGTACATAATTAAAAGAATTCTTACATATTGCACCTTTAATACCTGAGCACCAAAGGTGGATCTCTTAGTGTTGTTCTTCTTCTGCTCTTGAGTCTATGGCAGCCCATAGAACCACTTGTGGGAAACTTATGAAATTTGGCAGATGGATAGAAGACAATCTGAACATTAACCACAGCAGTTTTGAAGTCTCTAACTCAATCCCAAATGCCACACGCAATTTTCCCATATAGGGCATTTTGGGCATCGGCCATTTTGAATTTTGATGTAAAATGCTATATTTCATGAACGCATTGGCGTATCATTACGAAAGTTGGCATGTGTCTTTGACATGATCCCTTGTAGGTGCACAAACGATTTGGGGCAGCGCCACCTTGTGGTCAAAAATGATAGCAAAAATTCTGAAAATGCTAATTAATTTTGCCTATTGTAATGAAACTGATCTTGATAGATTCCTTCTACTAGATTTCTACTTTTTCAAGCTCCTCCTAAGCCCGTTGGTCTGATTTTCATCAAATTAGACTCGGATCATCTTCAAATCATGCTGGCAAATAGTTATGGATTTCGTGTTGATAGATAAAACTGTTTTCGTTTAACGCATCAATGAATGTGATGCCAAACTGAATGTGATGTTGCATCTCTGCAATGCTTTGTGTCGTTGACATACAAAATATGAGCATGTCGTTGTTAGCTCACACTGACCGATAACTGCTGCTCGCAAAAACATTATTGGACGATGTTTTACAAGAAAATAACATTTCAGTTTTCTACTTCAATATTTCACGTTTAATTCAATGTGTTACTTGCTATTTCTTTGTAGTTAATGGTGAAATTTACTAGTAATTTATAAGTGAACATTGTTTGTACACCAACTCTTTTACAGTGTAGTTGATCCGAAAGACTAAATTGACCATTATAGGTGGTTTATGCTTCTTTATTGCTAATTAATTGACTTAATCTGACACTTTTATTGTTTGTAAAATTGAGCTTGCGTAGCTAAAAGCACAATGATATTTTTCCTCAGTTTTTCTGTGTTGTTTTCCAGCACAAATATCTAAACATTATGAATTCAATATTCATTTTAAGAAGCAAAATTACTTAAGATATTAAGTGTTGTTTTATTAAAAAAGGTTGAGTTCACACTTAAAATATATATATTTTTAAAATCTGTCAGTGGGGTCAGAAAAAATAAAGTTAATTCAAAGGGAAAACAAAGTTATTTGTCTCAACCATTAGCATATTTTTAGCAAAAACTTAAGATTTTCTCAGAAAAAACACGTAATATCTTCAGTTATTTAGCATCTCAAGCAACTGTATGTTGATGTTTAATGTTTAGATATTTATGCTGGAAAACAAGACAGAAACAGTGAGTAGGAAATGTATTTTTGCGGTGTAAAGCGTATGTTTCGGGTCTGTAGTTCGATCAAGGATCTTTCTGGTTAATGAATAAAGAGAAGTTGCTGGTTAGCAGTTGCTCTTGTTGAACCCAGTGACAATGTACACACAAACTTCTTGCTAGTTTCAGATGGGTTCATCCTCTCATTCGTCTGTATCCACAGGTCACTCCAGTGTCCGACAGGGATTTCGGACGCTACAACTGCACCGCCAGGAACAACATCGGCGCTCGATACCAGGAGTTTATACTAGCACAGGCAGGTGTGTGTTTACCAGAACCCTCACATACTAAACTTCTCTTGAATCCTTTATTCGTTAGTAATGCATGTTCCTGATCTTTGAAAGATATTCACAGTTTTGTTTGGATCTGTGTATATCCTGATTTGTTTTCTGTCTGTGCGAGTATTTACTAACAAGCATTTAATAAATACTAAATTCTGTCTGCAAGCATTTCATATTTTTATTTTTTGAAGCCTGATTATGTTCTCGAAAGGATTTGAGTGTGTGTTTGGTTTGAGACGAGGCAGAAGGTTCACCTGAGAAACTGGTTTGCATTTGATTTGAACTTGTAGTGATGTGCTAACCATTGATATACATATATATATATTTAAATTTTCCATAACAATATGTCCTTCCCATCTGGCCATTGCTAATTGAACTGAAGCTAATCTTCTGTAGTGCCGCGTGATTTACTAGAGAGTTCTCTAATATAGCAGAGAACTGTCTCCATTTACTGAAGAGCTGCTTAATATACCATGAAGAGGTTCAGTTCACTTCAGAGCGGACTACACTGAGCCCCAGAGAATACAAACACACACACACACACATACATACACATACACTCACTCACTCATACAGTACACACATACACAGACACACACACACACGTATACTCACACACATAGAGACACTTACACACACTCACACACACATATATACTCACACACATAGACACACTCACATATACATACACACACACTCACTCACTCATACAGTACACACATGCACAGACACACACACACACGTATTCTCACACACATAGAGACACTTACACACACTCACACACACATATATTCTCACACACATAGACACACTCACATATACATACACACACACTCACTCACTCATACAGTACACACATACACACACACATATACTCACACACATAGACACACTCACACATACATACACGCACACACACACACACTCACACACACATGTATACTCTTACACATAGACACATTCACATATACACACACACAAAGACACACTCACACATAAATACACACTCACATATACTCACACACATAGACACACTCACATATACATACACACACACTCACTCACTCACTCACTCATATAGTACACACATACACACACACATGTACTCACACACATAGACACACTCACACATACACACACGCACACACACACTCACACACACATGTATACTCTTACACATAGACACACTCACATATACATACACACAAATACACACTCACACATAATACACACTCACATATACATACACACATAGACACGCTCACACATACATACACACACAGACGCACACACTCACACACACACACACGCTATTTTCTGAAAGTGTAATTTTGCTTGTACAGAAACACGATGTCTTTGGTCTCATAAAGAATCTCTGTGTCCTGATCTGGTGTTTCTGTTAAAGGCTGTGGAGTTTTCTCTTTGACAAGTTATGGGCCATTTCATCTTAAAAGGCCAAAAACATCTTCATTTACATGCACATATTGTTAATAAACCACCTTTTGACAAAATGCTATGATATGTTCATCACAAAACAGTTGGGATGTTTTCTCTCAGGTCTGTCACTCTTTATATAATATGCAAATATGTTTGCATATTTAATCTAATGATGCCGATTTGCATATTTTGAATGGCTAAAGTCACATTGCTTTTATGTCCTGTATATATTAACCTGGTAGAGTTTCGTTTGTAGACGATGGCTGAAACAGTAGATGTGTGTTTATAGGAGTGTTTGCTCACACACGCACAGATGTCTTCAGTGACGAGAGCGATTTCTCCTGTTAAATGATGACGTGTGATTGCATAATTACTTAGTTATTTTTATGAAAAGTAATGCGTTACATTCATTTTGCATAACTTTTTCTCACCTGGGCTTGTTTGTTTTTTAATACCAAGAAAAAAAGTTGTATTTTTGGCAAGTTTTAAGGCCCTTTCACACCAAACGTGAAGTGAATAAGCCTCAGGCTGATGGAAATGCATGTTTACTCCTGTACAGTAGAGGGCGCCGCTCAGACTAACCTTCAGGCGTTCTGGATTACAGAACTATAGGATACAGTTCAACACTCTTATATCTAAATCTAAACTAAAGTCATTTTTGCTTATTAGTATGGTTGAATTACATCATTGAAGGTCAGCAGGAAAGACATTGGTTAATAAAGTGAGATTAAAAACATAAAGTATATTTGTGTAATTTAATATAGTTCATTATAAAAGTTTTGCGTAACATTCTGAGATTGCTGTTTTTATTCATTTTGAGGAATACTGCATGTTTTCGTGCAAGTGAGACGAGTAAATGCATGCTCACATTTAGACTAGAAGTCAAATAACCATCATGTTCACACACACACACACACACACACACACACACACACACACACACACACACACACAACACCTCACTTTATTTCTCTCAACATGAGGACAGGAGAGCTGTCGGTTGATAAATGTGAAAAAGTAGCTTAGATATTTTGTTGTAATTTGAAAAAGTAATGCGTTACTTTACTAGTTACTTGAAAAAGTAATCTGATTACATTACTCAAGTTACTTGTAATGAGTTACACACAGCACTGGTTGTAAGCATTTCTGAATGTGTGTTGTGTTCCAGATGTCCCGTCGAACCCGTACTCCGTGCGTCTCACTGCCGTCTCCCAGCGTCTCGCCACCGTCTCCTTCATGAAGCCCGACTCGCACGGCGGCGTCCCCATCAGCTATTACATCATCAACATCAAAGACACGAGCGCACAGGATTGGAGGACAGTGAGATCACATGGTGTTCAGAGTGAGTGTCATGTGACCAACTGCTCACTTTGAAACTTGAGTTTGAACTTTTCTTCCCTAATGTGCCGTACACAACCTTTTATGTTTTTAAAAGAAGTCTCTTCTGCTCACCAAAGCTGCATTTATTTGATTAAAAATACAAAAAAATAATATTGTGAAATATTATTACAATTGAATTTTAATATATTTTAAAGTGTAATTTATATCCTGTGATCAAAGCTGAATTTTCAGCATCATTACTCCAGTCTTCAGTGTCACATGATCCTTCAGAAATCACTCTAATATGATCATTTAATGCTCAAGAAACATTTATGATTATTATCAAGGTTGAAAACAGTTGTGTACAATTTTTTTTTTCAGGATTCTTAATAGAAAGTTCAAAAGAACAGCATTTATTTGAAATATATATATTTTTTGTAACATTATAACTGTTTTTACTGTAACTTTTGATCAATTTAATTCATCCTTGATGAATAAAAATATTGATTTCTTTTATTTAAAAAAATTAAATAAATTCTTACTCACCCCAAACATTTGACCGGTATTGTTTAATGTTACAAAAGCTTTCTATTTCACATAAAAGCTGTTCTTTTAAACTTTCTATTCATCAAAGAATCCTGAAAAAAACACTGATAATAATCATAAATGTTTCTTGAGCATCAGATCATCATATTAGAGTGATTTCTGAAGGATCATGTGACACTGAAGACTGGAGTAATGATGCTGAAAATCACAGGATATAAATTACACTTTAAAATATATTAAAATAGAAAACAGTTATTTAAAATTGTAATAATATTTCACAATATTACTGTTTTTTTTGTATTTTTAATTTAATAAACGCAGCCTTGGTGAGCAGAAGAGACTTCTTTTAAAAACATTAAAAATCGTACAAAGTTTGACTGGTGTCGTATATCGAGTGAACAAGAACAAATGTGGGCGGGGCTTGATTGTGTCTGTGGGGAATTGATTGGATGGTTGTGGTTTGCTCATGTGAGTGACAGGTTAAAGCCCCGCCCTCGTCATCAGAGAAGAGAAGAAAACAATAATGATGTGATAAATGATAAATCATTTAGAATAACCACTGCAATAATCCATTAAAAAAACAAGAATTGGTCATTTTGATTTCATAGTGACTTTAATAGAGTCTGTGGGGGGGGAAACTCCATTTGCTCTCCATTTAATGTAATTTCTGTGTGGAAGAAACAGCTAAAATATTAAAAAAAGATCTAATTTGAGATGTGTCAGTCCTCAGAGCAAAAGTGATAAGCTTTGCAAGTAAAAACAGATCATTTAACCGAAGGGAATGCATGTTTACGTCTTCTAGTTTTCCATTATGGCGTGTGGAAACGAGTGTTGACAGTCCAGCGATTACGTTTGCTGCAACTAAACACATTTCACTCGCTAAAGCAAGAAGAAGCGAGAAGCTGTTTGTTCATTAAACTGCTCTTACTTTAGTCAGAGAATCTGCGATTTTGTTCAGTGCATTAGGCCTTTAAATAATGTGTTAAACGTAATGTAAAACGCTAAAAACGAATCGAAGCGAATGGAAAACAGAGAGTGTTTAGAGTTCAAGATCAGATTCAATGAGAAGTCAGTCTAATAATGTTCTTTTCATGGTCTCAACCTCGAGAATAGAGTGTAATTACTTCAATTACGTCCACAGACTCTTTGTGGATTTTTAATTAAGAACTCAATGTTCTTTGCCTGAGTAATAAGCGCGCTCGTCGAGTCGGTCCGCTTTATTAGTGCTTTCTCATGTAAATTAATGCATGCAATCGTTTATAACGGCCAAGGACTTCCATTTGCTAATGCAGCACTTTAATGTAAAAATACATATTCTCTGTTAGACTTATTTCAAAATTATTACAGCCATTTAATATTATTTATACACTATTAAAGTTTTTTTTTATTGTAATTTTTTATATATTAGTATTTAATAATGTTAATAATAATAAGCTTTTAGTTTTATATTTTCCGTTTAAGTTTTAGTTATTTTGTTGTGCGTTTATGCGGGGTTTTTTCCCAGTTTTAGCTTTAGTAATTAAATTTCAGCTTGCTTGCAACTTTGTTTCTTTTTTTCTTTACTTCTTTATTTTTTATTTTTTAATGTCTTTATGTTAATTTGTTTGTGTATTTATTTACTACTTTCTTTCTTTCTTCCTTCTTCCTTTCTTTCCTTCTTCCTTTCTTTCCTTCCTCCTTTCATTCCTTCCTCATTTCTTTGTTTCCTTCCTCCTTCCTGCCTCCTTTCTATGTTTCCTTCCTCCTTTCTTTCCTTCCTCCTTTCATTCCTTCCTCCTTTCTTTCCTTCCTCCTTTCATTCCTTCCTCCTTTCTTTCCTTCCTTTCCTTCCTTCTTCCTTTCTTTCCTTCCTCCTTTCATTCCTTCCTCCTTTCATTCCTTCCTCCTTTCTTTGTTCCCTTCCTCCTTCCTGCCTCCTTTCTTTGTTTCCTTCCTCCTTTCCTTCCTTCCTCCTTTCTTTCCTTCCTCCTTTCCTTCCTTCCTCCTTTCTTTGTTTCCTTCCTCCTTTCCTTCCTTCCTCCTTTCTTTCCTTCCTCCTTTCTTTCCTTCCTCCTTTCTTTCCTTCCTCCTTTCCTTCCTTCTTCCTTTCATTCCTTCCTCCTTTCTTTCCTTCTTCCTTTCTTTCCTTCCTTCCTCCTTTCTTTCTTTCCTTCCTCCTTTCCTTCCTTCTTCCTTTCATTCCTTCCTCCTTTCTTTCCTTCTTCCTTTCTTTCCTTCCTTCCTCCTTTCTTTCTTTCCTTCTTCCTTTCTTTCCTTCTTCCTTTCCTTCCTTCTTCCTTTCTTTCCTTCTTCCTTTCCTTCCTTCTTCCTTTCTTTCTTTCCTTCTTCCTTTCCTTCCTTCTTCCTTTCTTTACTTCCTCCTTACTTCCTCCTTTCCTTCCTTCCTCCTTTCTTTCCTTCTTCCTTTCTTTCCTTCCTCCTTTCCTTCCTTCTTCCTTTCTTTCCTTCCTCCTTTCCTTCCTTCTTCCTTTCTTTCCTTCCTCCTTTCCTTCCTTCTTCCTTTCTTTCCTTCTTCCTTTCTTTCCTTCCTCCTTTATTTTCTTCCTCCTTCCTTTTTTTTCTTCTTCCTTTCTTTTCTTCCTCCTTTCCTTCCTTCCTCCCTCCTTTATTTTCTTCCCTCTTCCTTTCTTTCCTTTCTCTTTTCTTTCCTTGCTCCTTTCCTTCCTTCCTCCTTTCTTTCCTTGCTCCTTTCCTTCCTTCTTCCTTTCTTTCCTTCCTCCTTTCCTTCCTTCTTCCTTTCTTTCCTTCTTCCTTTCTTTCCTTCCTCCTTTATTTTCTTCCTCCTTCCTTTTTTTTCTTCTTCCTTTCTTTTCTTCCTCCTTTCCTTCCTTCCTCCTTTATTTTATTCCCTCTTCCTTTCTTTCCTTCCTCCTTTTTTTCCTTGCTCCTTCCTTCCTCCTTTCTTTCCTTGCTCCTTTCCTTCCTTCTTCCTTTCTTTCCTTCCTCCTTTCCTTCCTTCTTCCTTTCTTTCCTTCTTCCTTTCTTTCCTTCCTCCTTTATTTTCTTCCTTCTTCCTTTTTTTTCTTCTTCCTTTCTTTTCTTCCTCCTTTCCTTCCTTCCTCCTTTATTTTCTTCCCTCTTCCTTTCTTTCCTTCCTCCTTTCTTTCCTTGCTCCTTTCCTTCCTTCCTCCTTTCTTTCCTTGCTCCTTTCCTTCCTTCTTCCTTTCTTTCCTTCCTCCTTTCCTTCCTTCTTCCTTTCTTTCCTTCTTCCTTTCTTTCCTTCCTCCTTTCTTTCCTTGCTCCTTTCCTTCCTTCCTCCTTTCTTTCCTTGCTCCTTTCCTTCCTTCTTCCTTTCTTTCCTTCCTCCTTTCCTTCCTTCTTCCTTTCTTTCCTTCCTCCTTTCCTTCCTTCTTCCTTTCTTTCTTTCCTTCCTCCTTTCTTTCCGTCCTCCTTTCCTTCCTTCTTCCTTTCTTTCCTTCCTCCTTTCCTTCCTTCTTCCTTTCTTTCCTTCCTCTTTTCCTTCCTTGCTCCTTTCCTTCCTTCTTCCTTTCTTTCCTTCTTCCTTTCCTTCCTTCTTCCTTTCTTTCCTTCCTCCTTTCCTTCCTTCCTCCTTTCTGTCCTTCTTCCTCCTTTTATCCTTCTTTCCTTCCTTCCTTATTCCTTTCTTCCTTCCTTCCTTCCTTCCTTCCTTCCTTCCTTCCTTCTCTCCTCCTTTCCTCCGTCTCTCAGCCACAGTAGTTCTGGCCAGTCTGGAGCCCAACACCACGTATGAGGTGCGAGTGGCGGCGGTCAATGGAAAGGGTCAGGGTGAATTCAGCCACACAGAATCCTTCCAGACGTTAGCCATCCGTGAGTACTTCCTCATCAGTCTCTCTTCTGTTCATCCCTCCTCACTTATTCAGACTGCCATGCTGCTTTGGCTCAGTTGCTGTCGCTCCCGTCACTATTCGCTTGAGAACAAGGACAATAAGACCTTGCACAGTGTGTGACTGCATCAGTCGTTCTCTGTAGATTTCAACGTTTTTGAGCTCCTTCATCATTATAATGCTGTTTCTTCTAGTTTGCATGGATCTTATAGTTTAAAGTAGCTGTCACGTCTTCACTTGGGTCTGCTTGTGTGTGTTTTCCTGCAGGCGAGCCGAGTCCTCCGACGGTTCACGGACAGAGAGGAGTCGGGAAAGCCTACAGACTCGGACTGATCAAACAGGACGACGGTGGGATGCCTATCGTCGAGTACATCCTGAAGTATAAAACGGTGGGTACGCTCAACAACACGAGCGCTCATAATTTCAGTTTTTTTAAACGTTTTTTTCTTGGCTATCCGAACGTTACATGTCGCAATATACTTAGGTGAAAATCTATGGTGAAAATCCAGTTTTTAATGTTGTTAATGTGTCTATATGGTGTTTTTAATACGCTTTAAGACAAACCATGTGTAAGTTCATAAGTCGACAGCATTGCTGAGTATTTCCTCCTTAAAACTGCAGTGAACCAAAGACAGTCTCAAAAACACGGTTTGAAATCGCTGGTGTTTCTGACGTCACAAACGACCTTGTAACCAATCAGATCAACGTGTGATCGTCAACCAGTGGATCTGTGAGTGAGTGGAGGCGGGGCTCATTGCATATTTATAGAGACGCGCATAGTAAATGAGGCGAGGGTGTCGAGTTACAAGTTATTTTAAGATATGAAGATTTTTTTTTTTACAGGATAAATGTTTAAATATATAATTTTGATGATCAAAGATGAGTTTTAAGGGATACAAGTATTGATTAAGGAGGACTTTAAAGCAAAATCAAAGAACGAACTGGTGTGATGTCATTTCAAACAAAATCTGGCCAAATTGAAGTTAGTTTCAGGAGTTTGAAACCGCTTTCTGGAAACGTTCGCTCTGGCTGGTAAAAACCTTCAATCTACGATGATGTAATAGGTAGAGACCCCGTCTTCTTTGACGTGGAATCAATTTCAATATCAAATTACATATAAACTTATTTATATTACATGAAAATATTGAACTGAAAATAACTTTTTTGTACTAAAATCGGCAGTAATTAAATTTTGGTAGGGATGGATGTGCTTAATGTCACAGTGCAAAAACTCTTAAAAATGCACAGATGTTTGTGGATAACACAATAGATGCTTGTGAATGTTTCTGTGAAGTTATATTAATAACTATATTATATGGCGCTTATAGTCAATTAATGTAAAGGAAGCTCACGCTTTAGGCAGTTTATGCATGCATAAAATCATTGTATATGCAAGTACATGTTGTGTTCTCTGTCTTCTTCAATCAGACTTCTTTTCAGGTAAAATTATGTCATGCAACAGTTAATTAGTTAAAGTTTATATAAGCATAAGCATGCTTACAACCTGCATAATAACACTTCTGATTTAATCCTCAGATGTTTGAAGGAAACCTTCGTGTTTGAGGTTCATTACTTCTGCAAAAATACATGTTGAGTTTGTACTGGACGATGGGAAACAGAATAGTCTGCATTTGCACACTGTCCTAATTCACAGTGCGTTAATCCGAGCTGATTTTAGAGGAATCCCGTCGCCTGGAGTCGCGTGGGTGGCTGAATCTGTAATGTTCCCGGGGAAAAATCCTGCTTTTCCTCCGTCCGGCGTACAGTGAGTCTGAACGCGCTCACGCTGTGGCCTCATTTGCTTAAAGAATACGGATGCGTGAGAGACGCTTTGAAGTCCTTCTCTTTCCCATAAAGAAACTGCGGGGGGGGATTTGCCATGAGTTTTCCTCTCCGTCACGGATATAACGAACAAAAAGAGCCAAACTGAGCTCAATGCACACATGCTCACAGTTACACCTACACAAACCTGCAGTTTTCTCCTGGCTTTGAGTGACTCTCAAAGAACAAAGTTCTTTATTATCCTCATTATAATAATCCATACGCAGGATAAAGGGGCGGGGCCTGGTTGAGTTAGTTAGTAGTGTGTTAAACTGGCGGTTATGGAAAGGGGCGGGGCATTTCCCAAACACACTCGAAGCGCTCGACCAATCACAACACACTGCTCCAGCCGACCAATCAGAGCACAGTGTGCTTTTCAGAAGGAGGGGCTTCATAGAGACAGGAAGTAAACAGAGCGTTACTGACAGACTGGGAAGAGAGGAGCCGCAACAATGGAGAATATGAGGAGAATAATCAACATTCAAGCAGGAAAACCTGTTCTAGTAGAGCCTGAAACTACATCAAGACTTTGTAAAAGGGTATAATATGGCATCTTCATGTTCTTATTGTGAAAGACTCATCAGTGCACGTTATTCTTAACTAAGATACAGCTGGTTTGTGTAAACTAGCTTAACCCCTTCTTTTTTTCTTTTGGAAAGTCCTCTTTTCATGATCCAGTCAATTCCTGATTAATAATATCACGTCTCGCCCTTCATATGTGCCACATTATGAAAGTTTAATTTCAGGTTGACTAAAACACACAAAAGAGAAACTAAAGGACGCTATTATCTCCCTCAGCCAATGAAAATGTGTTTCCATCAATCACTTGAGAAACTGCCGTTGAAGTTGCCGGTGTTTGTATGAGATTGAAGATCTCCAAAGCTTTATGGGAAGTGAAATCTCTTTAAAGTGCTTTACTAAAGTACTGCGATGGAAAAGTAGATTGGAGTGTCTGATTGTGGATTCCCGCAGACAGACGGTGAAAAAAAATAAAAAATGAACTGAAGAAGATCAAATATTTCCAGACAATAAACGTATTAGATCACAGAGACAGTGAGGACGGGTTTTCAGGAAGTGTCAGGATGAAACGGGATGGAGATGATTGGAAACGCCATCCAAACTTATTGCTTATTTAAATCTTTGTTCTTTTTTTTAGTCATTATGCATTTCTTTTGCCCTATTTCATATTGTGTTTTTGATGCGGTCCATCAGACTAGCATGAAAAAGGTTCAGCCTGTCCTTATTTATTTCTGTGTTCTGTGGGAAACACTTGAAGACTGAAGATCCAAAAATGACCTAAAACACGATTAAAGCACCATAATAAAGTTCCACATCTACAAGTCTTCTGAAGCAGCGTTATTATAAATCATAAAATCATTAAAATAAAAATAAATTGTTACTTGAAATAAAATAAACCTGAAATAAATTAAAGTATCAACATTTTTTTACTTATTTTATTTCAGCATTTCAGCATTTCTCATTTATGTTTATTTTTAATACAATACTAAAATAACTAAAACTAATTAAACAAAAAGTACAATAAATACTATATAGATGTACTTAAAAACTACAAAAACACAACAAAATCACTAAAATTTTAACTAAAATTAAAGTGTGAACAGATATTAAATATATTTAATATATAATTCAATTATTATAAATAATCCTATGGATAAATACTTTTAATGTAATTAATTAATATATCATTTCCCCCAGTACAGTAATGATGAGTAACAGTATGATAATAATACATATTGATGACGAGTAATACAGTATGTATGAGTAACAGATCGGTGATGTGTGTGTGTGTGTGTGTGGTGTGTGTGTGCAGGATAAAGAGGAGCAGTGGATGACGAAGCTGGTTCCCGGGATGAATGACTTCGCTCTTCTTCAGCCGCTTCAGTGGAACACGCGCTACAACGTGGAGATCACGGCGCGCAACGTCAAGGGCCTGTCGGAGCCCACCTTCTTCCAGTTCCTCATGCCACAGAAGCCCGACATCACAGGTATACACACACACCCTCGCTGATGAACCACACACACCCTCGCTGATAAACCACATCACAGGTACACACACACCCTCGCTGATAAACCACACACACCCTCGCTGATAAACCACATCACAGGTACACACACACCCTCGCTGATAAACCACACACACCCTCGCTGATAAACCACATCACAGGTATACACACACTCTAAAATTTGCAATTTTACTGTATTGGGGGGGGGGGGGGCTGTCAGTATCTAGTGTGACACCATTTGCCTCACACAGTGCAACACATCTCCTCTGCATAGAGTTGATCAGGTTGTTGATTGTAGCCTGTGGGATGTCGGTCCGCTCCTCTTCAATGGCTGTGCGAAGCTGCTGGATATTGGCAGGACCTGGAACACGCTGTCGTATACGCCGATCCAGAGCATCCCAAACATACTGAATGGGGGACATGTCCGGTGAGTGTGCTGGCCGTGCAAGAACTGGGATGTTTTCAGCTTCCAGGAATCGTGTAGAGATCCTCCAACATGGGCTGTGCATTATCATGCTGCAACATGAGGCGATGGTCGTGGATGAATGGCACAGCAATGGGCCTCAGGATCTCGTCACGGTATCTCTGTGCATTCAAAATGCCATCAATAAAATGCACCTGTGTTCGTTGTCCATAACATATGCCTGGTCATACCATGACCCCCCCGCCACCATGGGCCACTCGATCCACAACCGCTCACCCACACGACGCCATACACGCTTTCTGCCATCTGCCCTGTACAGGGAAAACCAGGATTCATCCGTGAAGAGAACACCTCTCCAAAGTGCCAGACGCCATCGAATGTGAGCATTTGCCCACTCAAGTCGGTTACGGCGACGAACTGCAGTCAGGTCGAGACCCTGTGAGGACGACGAGCATGCAGATGAGCTTCCCTGAGACGCTTTCTGACAGTTTGTGCAGAAACTCTTTGGCTATGTTGCATCAGCGGTCCGGGTGGCTGGTCTCAGACGATCTTGTGTCTGGGTGGCTGGTCTCAGGCGATCTTGTGTCCGGGCGGCTAGTCTCAGACGATCTTGTGTCCGGGTGACCGGTCTCAGATGATCTTGTGTCCGGGTGGCTGGTCTCAGACGATCTTGTGTCCGGGTGGCTGGTCTCAGACGATCTTGTGTCCGGGTGGCTGGTCTCAGACGATCTTGTGTCCGGGTGGCTGGTCTCAGACGATCTTGTGTCCGGGTGGCTGGTCTCAGACGATCTTGTGTCCGGGTGGCTGGTCTCAGACGATCTTGTGCCCGGGTGGCTGGTCTCAGACGATCTTGTGTCCGGGTGGCTGGTCTCAGACGATCTTGTGTCCGGGTGGCTGGTCTCAGACGATCTTGTGTCCGGGTGGCTGGTCTCAGACGATCTTGTGCCCGGGTGGCTGGTCTCAGACGATCTTGTGTCCGGGTGGCTGGTCTCAGACGATCTTGTGTCCGGGTGGCTGGTCTCAGACGATCTTGTGCCCGGGTGGCTGGTCTCAGACGATCTTGTGTCCGGGTGACTGGTCTCAGGCGATCTTGTGCCCGGGTGGCTGCCTCAGACGATCTTGTGTCCGGGTGGCTGGTCTCAGGCGATCTTGTGTCCGGGCGGCTGGTCTCAGACGATCTTGTATCCGGGTGGCTGCCTCAGACGATCTTGTGTCCGGGTGGCTGGTCTCAGACGATCTTGTGTCCGGGTGGCTGGTCTCAGACGATCTTGTGTCCGGGTGGCTGGTCTCAGACGATCTTGTGTCCGGGTGGCTGGTCTCAGACGATCTTGTGTCCGGGTGGCTGGTCTCAGACGATCTTGTGCCCGGGTGGCTGGTCTCAGACGATCTTGTGTCCGGGTGGCTGGTCTCAGACGATCTTGTGTCCGGGTGGCTGGTCTCAGACGATCTTGTGCCCGGGTGGCTGGTCTCAGACGATCTTGTGTCCGGGTGACTGGTCTCAGGCGATCTTGTGCCCGGGTGGCTGGTCTCAGACGATCTTGTGTCCGGGTGACTGGTCTCAGGCGATCTTGTGCCCGGGTGGCTGGTCTCAGACGATCTTGTGTCCGGGCGGCTGGTCTCAGACGATCTTGTGTCCGGGCGACTGGTCTCAGACGATCTTGTGTCCGGGCGGCTGGTCTCAGACGATCTTGTGTCCGGGCGGCTGGTCTCAGACGATCTTGTGTCCGGGCGGCTGGTCTCAGACGATCTTGTGTCCGGGCGGCTGGTCTCAGACGATCTTGTGTCCGGGCGGCTGGTCTCAGACGATCTTGTGTCCGAGTGGCTGGTCTCAGACGATCTTGTGTCCGGGCGGCTGGTCTCAGACGATCTTGTGTCCGAGTGGCTGGTCTCAGACGATCTTGTGTCCGGGTGACTGGTCTCAGGCGATCTTGTGCCCGGGTGGCTGGTCTCAGACGATCTTGTGTCCGGGTGACTGGTCTCAGGCGATCTTGTGCCCGGGTGGCTGGTCTCAGACGATCTTGTGTCCGGGCGGCTGGTCTCAGACGATCTTGTGTCCGGGCGACTGGTCTCAGACGATCTTGTGTCCGGGCGGCTGGTCTCAGACGATCTTGTGTCCGGGCGGCTGGTCTCAGACGATCTTGTGTCCGGGCGGCTGGTCTCAGACGATCTTGTGTCCGGGCGGCTGGTCTCAGACGATCTTGTGTCCGGGCGGCTGGTCTCAGACGATCTTGTGTCCGAGTGGCTGGTCTCAGACGATCTTGTGTCCGGGCGGCTGGTCTCAGACGATCTTGTGTCCGAGTGGCTGGTCTCAGACGATATTGTGTCCGGGCGGCTGGTCTCAGACGATCTTGTGTCCGAGTGGCTGGTCTCAGACGATTTTGTGTCCGGGCGGCTGGTCTCAGACGATCTTGTGTCCGAGTGGCTGGTCTCAGACGATCTTGTGTCCGGGTGGCTGGTCTCAGACGATCTTGTGTCCGGGCGGCTGGTCTCAGACGATCTTGTGTCCGAGTGGCTGGTCTCAGACGATCTTGTGTCCGGTGACTGCCTCAGACGATCTTGGAGGTGAAGATGCTGGATGTGGAGGTCCTTACACGTGGTCTGCGGTTGTGAGGCCGGTTGGATGTACTGCCAAAATCCCTGAAACGCCTTTGGAGACGGCTTATGGTAGAGAAATGAACATTCAATTCACGGGCAACAGCTCTGGTGGACATGCCTGCAGACAGCATGCCAATCGCACGCTCCCTCAAAACTTGCAACATCTGTGGCATTGTGCTGTGTGATAAAACTGCACATTTTAGAGTGTCCTTTTATTGTGGACAGCCTAAGGCACACCTGTGCAATAATCATGCTGTCTAATCTGCATCTTGATATGCCACACCTGTGAGGTGGATGGATTATCTCGGCCAGCCACCAAAGGAGAAGTGCTCACTAACACAGATTTAGACAGATTTGTGAACAATATTTGAGAGAAATAGGCCTTTTGTGTACATAGAAAAAGTCTTTGATCTTTGAGTTCGGCTCATGAAGAATGGGGGCAAAAACAAAAGTGTTGCGTTTATAATTTTGTTCCGTGTATATTTGTAATTCTTATTATCATCAATGGTGATTTTCTTTATCGTATTACAGTTTGTTTTTTTACTAAAATTATTGTTTTGTAAATTAAAACAGTACAATAAATACTTCTATGTATAAGTACATACTGTATTGATATTTCATTTAATTATTATTGTAATTTTCCCCAATAGAGTAAGGCATTGTATTTCTTTCCCTCACTAAAAGACGTTAAGTTCACAGTCTTATACCTTTGTCTTTTTGTCCAAAAAGTGTTCAAACACTCTTTTTTCATTGCATAAAAGTGTGTATTCCTGGTGAAGTAGTCATCAGTCTGTGCCGACAGCAGGCGCTCCTGGAACGAATGGCTGGTTTCAGGTCATCAGACGCTCTGAAGGTCCTGATGGCGACTGTAAAACGCTGCGTGGGCATGAATATGATGATATGGACATTTGGCTCCATATAATATTGTATCATAGTGATGCTTCATTCGGGACAGTCAGTTCAGTGGCCCTCGGGGACGTTTCTGTGAGTCATTTAGCGCTCAGTTGGCAGATCATGTTAGTGAAGCTCAACGCCAGTCAAAGGGAGTGTGTTTCTCTACGTACTGAACACCTACAATTATGTGCATACCGATACAAATATAAATGTTTTAATGGTTTAATATATAATAAAATATAATGTAGTGTACTATAATATATAATACACTAGAATATAATACAACAATATGATTATATAAAAAAAAATTAAAAAAAATTAAACTTGTATAATTTAAGTTAGCATGCATTATAAATTATATTATATTAGTATTTTATATATTATATTGTAATTTTTCTGACCCCATCGGCAATTTTTTTCTTGTTTTAAGCATAAAATAACAAATCATTTTTTCATTATATTATATTATTATATTATATTGTTATTTTTCTGACCCCATTGCCAGTTTTTTTTCTTATTTTAAGCATAAACTCACTTAATTTTGATAACTTTTTTTAGAAAACAAGACTAAATATCTGATGTCATCTTTCTTGTTTAGATAAATAAGACACAAATACGATCTTTTGTTGTCCGTGTTTGAGCCGCTTTTCACATTAATTGTAGCTCTAGACTCGTTTGTGTCTGTTGTTATTTCTCATAGTTTAGTTTTTAGTTAGTTTTACCTTTATTGTTATAGCATGGTATACAACGCAATTGACATCTCTCATAGAAAACAAACTGTATTCATCCATATTACCCACAACACACATAAAAACAATAAGTTAAACAATAAAAATACTGTAAAGTGTCTTGTGCATGTTATTGCAACAATATGGCATGTTGGTTATAGTTTTAATTGGTTTTACACTTCAACATCAACAGGTTGTCAATCGAATCATATTACTTCAGATTACACATAATACACATAAATATCAAGCATAATTAAACCTGTAATTCAGCTATTGATTAAAATGAAGGTACAGAGACGTGCAACATACTCAGATTTCTTTAAATACCAACTAAATGAAAACGTATTCATTCTGTTTAAAGTTATTATGACGTGAAGATAACTTTAATATTTGTGCTGAAGGTTTTGAAGTTGTGTGTTTGATGCTCTGTGGCGTTTCTCTCTCTGATAAGAATCGATGAAACCCTGTGAAGACGTCCGCTTGACTCAAGGCTTCCCGTATTTAACCGTTTTCTTAATCAGTCGGTGCTTTAGGTGTCGTGGACACTAACAGACGTTCAGAAGTTCAGTCAGGTGTGTTTACGCCGCCGGTCCGTCCACGGATCACTCGATAAGCCGTAATGTGAAACTCAATGTCAGGATCCGTCAGACTTTATATTTCTAACATGTTTTGTGTGGATCTTTGATGCTTTCATCCATAACACATCAAAACATCTTGAAGATGGACTGCAGAATCATGTCCTCAAAGCTTCAGATCGATACACAAACACCGCGCTTTCTGAACCTGTGATTATGGAGAAATCTTTGCAAAGGTTTGTTTTCTGTTCAGATACAGTAAGTGCACGAGAAGAATGAAGAACCGCACTAATGATAGCGTTCGGTTGGGTTAATTATCCTGTCAGGGCCTCTACTTTCTCTTCAACTATTGCATTGTATCTTTTAACTGTCTTGACTCGTTTAGATTGACTTTATTGTCATTATAATATATATTTATATTTAATGATGCACTTTTCAGAAATGCGACTGTTTGCCAAAAAAGCAACATTTGATGGCTTGCAAAAATACGAGACACCTATAGAAACTATAAATAGAAAACTATTTTAAAAAATCCATTTATTGAAATAAAGCTGAACTCAAATAAAATAGAAATATTGCATGAAACTTAAACTTAATTAAAATTTACTGAAAAAAAATATATTTAATTTCAAGTACTAAAATTACTTGAACTAAAATAAAAACCATAAGCTAAATATAAATAAAAAAACTAAAACTAATAAAATGACAAAAGCACATAACAAAATTACAAAAATTGAAATGAAAATTGAATACATAAAAATAAAATCTAATTTAAAATATTAATAATTATTATAAAAATAATACTTAAAACACTGTTAATCTGTGAACTTCTAGCTTTCATTTGTGTGATTTTTCAGAAATCTGATTAAATATAGAATAACATAAATGTTGCCAAAATACGCTGACAAAATTGGATTTACTTTGAAACTATTTTCCCTCATAAATTGCTAGTAAATTTCAGAAATAATTACAAAGAAAGGACATTCAATTAAACAAAATGTTCTTGTTAACCATGTATGCCATCAATTTTTGTTTTATTTACTTCAAAAGTAACCTAAAAGTAACTAATCTGAGACTGTTAGTGTGTTTTTGTGCATTTATTCTTGTTTTTTATAGATAGAAAAATAGAAATAACGTGCCAAAACAATGACAAAATTCACATTTAGAAGATACAAGCATTCAAAACTTACAGTCTCTCACTTCCGCCAATATGGATCAATGATTCTGATGATGACATCACTCTGCACTTCAGCTTCTCATCCGATTTTCTGTCCAATCAAATGCTCTCTAGAATCCGAAGCTCCGCCCCCTGCATTATAAACAGACGCTGAAGCTGCGGCTGAAGTCGGTCACTTGTTTCCTACATGGTGAACAGCACATAGTGCACTATATAGGGGACAGGGAACGGTTCAGACAGTGTAAATATGCTTTCCATCGGGGCGAATGAAGTCTGGGTTCAGCTCCGGTCCAGAGACACGACACACAGAGCGGATCATGTGACCCAGAAAACACATCGGACACATTTGAGTTCTGCAGAATGCTGTATTTTAAAGCGATATTGAGGAGATTAGGAGGAAACTGCAGCTTTACTGACCTCAACGGCTCTGAGCTGTGATATAAACCAAACGCTATTGGCTATTTTTAAAAAGGGGCGGAGCTGATCGATATGCCCCGCCCCTCTTCCTGTTACAGTGGAAATTACGTCAACACACTGAATAATGCTGCGCGTTTCAACGCACTTCAGTGGGCCTTATAAATCTCTAGTTATACTATATTGTCATGATATATTTGATTCAATCTTTTCTTCAACTTGTTTTGGTTGAATCAGCACATGTTTTATGTTTATTTTTGTATCTGATTGATCGTAGGTCTCATTGATCTGAACTCGTGTTTTTTTTATTTTTGAGGAGAATAAAACTGAGGCGCACGAGTTCAGATCAATGACACCTACACAAATAAACATGAAACATGTGCTGATTGAACCAAAACAAGTTGATAAAAAGATTGAACACAGCATAACAACACAGCATGTTTGTGTAGGCCGGTCAGTTTTGATCTCGAAACACCACAAGTGTAACAATGTGGAAATGAAAATATTATCAAATTTCTCAGCATTTTTGGGGAAAAAGAAAATCACCAGAACTCAACATGAGGGTTAAACTTCTTTATTAAAGTCCCCCTGTGGTGAAAATCCAGCTTTTAATGTTATTTATGTGTCTATGTGGTGTTTTTAATACGCTTTAACTGTGTAAGTTCATAAGTCGACAGCATTGCTGAGTATTTCCTCCTTAAAACTGCAGTGAACCAAAGACAGTCTCAAAAACACGGTTTGAAATCGCTGGTGTTTCTGACGTCACAAACGACCTTGTAACCAATCAGATCAATGTGTGATCATCAACCAGTGGATCTCTGAGCTGAGTGAGTGAGTGGAGGCGGGGCTCATTTGCATATTCATAGAACCGTGCATACTAAATGAGGCAAGGGTGTCGAGTTACATTCAAGATAGTTGTTGAGTGTGTGTGTGTTCTCTGGTCTCAGCAGATTCGCTGTTCAGTGGTCTGGGTCTCGGCGCTGTGGTGGGTCTCGGACTGGCGGCTCTTCTTCTCCTGCTGGCTCTGGTGGACGTCGGCTGCTTCTTCTTCAGACACTGCGGTCTCCTCATGTTCATCAGCCGCAAACTCTGCAGCAAGAAGACCACGACCAGCGGCAAGAGCAAAGAGCTGGAGGAGGGCAAAGCCGCGTACCTGTGAGTGACTCGCTCCATCCTCTCTCTCTCTCTCGCACCTTCTGTGATGCTCTGCGTTTGAAAGAGTGTATGTGTGTGCAGAGCCGTCGCCAGGACATATAGAATGGGGGGGCATTTCATTTTCATGGGGGGGCACCCTTTTTATGATGAGATCTACAAAACAGACAGTCACAAAAACAATAACATCCTCTATTTAGTCTAATATAACTGAAATAGACCAAATTCTATATTTAAACAACACCAAAACACAAAATATTAAGTTTCTGAATCTGATCATAGGCGGAGGGTGAACCAACACCATGAGGATATGCGCTTCCCCTTTAAAAACATTTACTAGGCTATATGCAGGATTTGACATGGCAGAAAGCTCGCAAAGAGCGCCTATTTTATTATCTTTAAAAAGCGGTTATACAACTTCATCGCGATCTCACAAAGTTCCTAGGCTATCAGTAAAGCTGATACACAATAATGCCTTATTAGCATAGCCTAACTGCTTATTATAACGAGAGGATTTCCACGCGCATAGAACTAATCCACTCACCGCTCAAAACACCGGAGTTTAGCCAATATTCTTTTATTACGGAGAAAACTGATCCTAGACCAGCATTTATGGACAGCTTTTCCCTCTAAAAGCAATCAGAAGTAAGTAGCTAATATGGAAGCTTGTTTTCGCCACGGAATTAAAAAAATTAAAAGATAATTGCGACTTTTTATCTCACAATTCTCACATGGATTTCTCTCAATTCAGAGTTTTTCCTCACAATTATGACTTTATAACACGCAAATGTGACTGTATATCACTCAACTCTGACTTTATAACTTGCCATTTTGATTTTATATCACGCAATTCTGAGAAGAATTACCTTTTTTTACGTGGAAACAGTAGGCTGTTTTTAGCAGGCAAATGAATCAGAAAATTCGACAAGCCCGCTCGGCCAGGGGAAGGTAGGCCTTGCGCAGAGCCTTACACGCTCCGACTAATTTTCATATTTCTGAAGACTAATGTGTTATTTAAAATTACAGAGATTAGTGCACCTGTGTGCTAAATGCTGCTGACGACATTTCGTTATGGAATACGTGGATACGTTTTTTTGCTCTCAATAGTAAGTTTGCTCAATGACCATATGATTAGGGGGGCACGTTGTGTCATCTGGGGGGGCACGGCCCCCTAACGCCCCCCCTTGGCGACGGGCCTGTGTGTGTGTGTGTGTGTGAGGATTTCAGAGATACAGTCAAACCAAAATGTATTCAGACTCCTTCAACATTTCTCACATTATCACAGTTTATTCGCTATAATGGTGATAAACATGAGCAGAACTCAGAGTTCTCAGATCAGTGGATATTTGACTGGTTTTGTCCGTCCTTCTGTTCGACTCTCACACATGAATTATGTTGAATATCTGTCAGCTGTTAAATTGAACTACACAATTAGATAATACCAGTTTAGCTCAACCAGTGACCAAGCAATGCTTCATGTTGTTCAGTGTGTGTGTAAAAAGAGCATTAGCAATTACAGAAAACACACTTCAGCAAAACATGATCAGCTCAAAGTGTCCGAATCATTTCTGCTCCCAATCTTTACTGGTAGTCACTGTATGAAGAATTATTGGGTGTAATCAGTGGTTAAATTGGCTTTTATAGGGAGGGGGAGCCCGCATTTACGGTGAATGGTCATCATTCAAAATCATGCTGTAAAATGATTTAATGTGTTTTTACACCAAAAAGGCTCTTTTTCCAGTATTAATGTGTAAAGTAGGGCTGAGTACGTATTTAAACAAAGAGAAATACTTTACAATTCACTTTTTTTAATTATTTTTTTACCTTTAATGTTAACAGACAGCAACGGATTCCACCCTCGGGAAATGTATGAAATTGAACATGTTTGAAAATATTGTTTGGCAAATATCTTTTTAAAACAAGAAAAAATGTTGATTTAAAAGAATCAGGGCCAATTTCTTTGGCAATTAGTTGTTTGATTTAATCACACCGACACGCAGGGCCGTACGGGGTTTTTTATAAATAAAAGTTCCCAAAAATTATGTTGCTAGTCGGGTTTGGGGGCATGGCCCACCAAGAAAATTTTGGTTTTCCTGATCTCAACATGTCCATTTTAAGGTGTTTGGAAGGCCAAAAAAAAAAAGACAACAGTAGCTTTAAAAGCATGTCAGTGGTCAACATGAAGTAGGCCTATTTTATCAGATAACAGATTCTTTAACATGAGAATCAGTTTAAATGTCGCAATGAGTGATCCACACTATAAAATGGAAATGCAGAATGTTTATGCATATTGTTGACAATACACAATCACATATTCGAAACGGGAATGTCCTTAAATAAGAAATGATTCAAGGATTCTTTTGTAGATGTTACATTTCAAACAAACCCCAATGCAATCATTCTGTGCCCAGAGGCATATGGGCAATTAGTATGAGCATCAAAGATCAGTTTCAGCTACTTTTCTTTCCTAAGTTAATCAATATTTTTGGACTAGCCAATCTGTTCATTTAATCAATGGTTCAATTGTTCAGTCATAAAGACAGTCACTTGTCGCCGCCTTCTGGCTTAATGATGCAAGTTGCGCAAACACAAACAAAAGTTTTGAGTGATACAAACAGTGAAAAGTCGAACACATTCGAGGTAACTTTATACAAATATATTTATACAATAATAATGGCAATATATTTAATAGGGTGCTTGTGTTGTTAAATTGAGCTTATAGTATCCACTGTCTTTGATCAAACTGAGTATTTCTGTCGATCATTTAAAAGTTCTATCGACAAACAGCTGTTTAGATTAGCTACTTGCATCTTATCTCGCACGGTATGCCCTTTGTGAAGCGTGAAGCGTCGCGTTTGCGCTTCTGTGAGCATAAATCCCACTTGCTTTGATTGGACTCAAACATTTTGACATTGACGTGCGGGTGCTCAGCTCAGACGAGAAGGTCAGTTATCGTTGCGATGGGCGAATCATTGCAGCACCAAATTCGAGTTAATATTAGCCAATTATTTCATAACTTTGATTATATTCACTCAACAAATTTTATATTTTTGGTGCTGAAGGAGACGGAGCTGAGCTCCGGCAGGGTGTGTTGTGGACCCGAGGAGGCGGAGCTGCGCTCCGGTGCGCTCCGCCCCAATTTAACCTATGGGTGTAATATGTCTCAGTTTACTTTATTTTGCTCTCCTCACTTACAGAAATGAACTATAGTGTCTGAATCATTTTTGGTTTGACTGTATTCTGGCTGCTCAGACTGAAAAACCAGCTTAAATCAGCTGTTTTTTCAGTCTCACAATGAAAACATCACTGCCGTTTAAAGTAGCTTGAGGGAAATAACTACTTTTATTCAGCAAGAATGCATTAAATTGATCAAAAGTGACTTTTTATAATGTTACAAAGGATTCTATTTCAAATAAATGCTGTTCTTTTTAACTTTCTGTCCATCAAAGAATCTCGTAAAATTACATTTATCAGTTTAACAGCTGTTTTCAACACTGATAATAATCATAAATGTTTCTTGAGCATCAGATCATCATATTAGAGTGATTTCTGAAGGATCATGTGACACTGAAGACTGGAGTAATGATGCTGGAAATTCAGCTTTGATCACAATGTTATAATGTATTCACATAGAAAACTGTTCATTTGAATTGTAATCATTTTTCTTCACTGTTTATACGGTGTTTTTGATCAAATAAATGCAGCCTTAAGAGACTTTTTGAGAGAGCAAGCCAACAAATGCTTTCTTTGCAATGCACTGAACATGCAGATTAACTGAGATCTGCAAGTTTAATACTCTTAATCAAACTAAAACTCAAGCTATGAGGCCAAAATATCATTGAAACTGTACAGAATCCACTGATCGAGGTTAAAATGTAAGAGTTGTTTGGTTGTGAAAACGTTTGAACGACGTTGCCTTTGTAAGACTAAAGTGTTTCATTTCAATTATTTTATAATCATTTTAACGTTCATATGTGAATATCATTCTCAGAATCTGATGAAACGGACAGTAATTATCTAATGATGAGGGTTGAATTTCAATTATTTCATATTTTCCCATTATAAGCGCTGTTGATAATCTGCACATATAGACATGCAGTAATCTGCTGGTTTAATGCGGTTCTGCTGTGTGAGTTCAGTAAAGGATCAGACCGAGGGTTGAGCATTAGTCAGACCTCATGAGATTCCTCTGTCTGCATTCGACGAGCATAAAGTCCAGCGTCAGTGGATTCACCATCATCTCAAGTTTCTTATGGCACATTTGTTCAGCTGTATTATTCCACACACACACACACAGCTAGTCCTTGTTGTGTGATGAGCATTGAGACAGAAGTCAGAATAAAACCTAAATCTAAAGATTTAGATTCAATTTTCATTCCATGAAGAATAAATTATATTAAAACGTGTTGAAACAGCTTTTAATAGACATGTATATATATGTAGACTTATTTCATAAGGCAGCATTGCTAATTTTTCTATTTTTAAAATTTGTATCATTTATCAAGTCTTTTTAATTTTTTTCTATTTTGCTTTTATTTATTTTTATTTCAGTTTTATTTTTTTATTTTAGTACTTCAGCTTAAACTTCACTTAGTTGCTAAGGCAACATTGCTAATTTCAAGTTTAATTTTTTTTTTTTCATCTGATAGGTTCATTTCAATTTAATGCAATTTAATAATATTTTGAACTAAGGAAATGTTATATTTTCAGTTTTCATTTTAATTGTAGTGTTTTTTTGTAATTTTTTTGCGCTTTTGTCATTTTTCATAGTTTTTTATTTTAATTTTGCTTTTGTCTTCATTTACATTTTTTTGTGATTTTAGTACTTCAGCTTAAACTTATTTCATTTCACTTTAGTTGCTAAGGCAACGTTGCTAGTTTTTTGTTTTAAGTTTTTAAAAAGAAATGTAATATTAATATTTTAATTCAATTTAAAATGTAAATTTAAAATGAATTAACAAAGATTTTTTGATCTGCTTTTGCTTTGATCTTTTAATATTTAAATTAGTTTTCATTTATTTTTATTTATTGTTCCTCTGCCACTTCCCTATTCTTATATATTTTATCTTATATATATATATTGTTATAGTTATCATATTTGCTGTGAACGGGCCTTAGCAATTAATCTGTGAGGTAGTGAATAGTTATAGTTCTCAAATCATTATAGTAATCTAATATTTAACAGAATCAGAAATAACTCTATGGTTTGGGTCGTTTTTATAATTAATTTCTCAGATAGTGTTTTGGTTTGACTTTAGACATTGCAGCTACATGTGAATTAACAGTCATTAGAGTATTAGTAGACTGTTGGGTTCGGGTTATTAGAATAAGTTTACATGTAGTTGATGATATATATAGTCAGTAGAATATCTGAAGTTAGCAGTGTTTTTTTGTGTCATGTGACTTCTGTCGTGGCATGCTAATGAGATGCGTGACATCATCAGGTGTGTGTGTGCGGCTCTTCTGTCCTCAGAAAGCTCCCGCTGAAGGAGGAGAACGGTAAAGAGGTTCTGAAGCCGGATCTGATCGAGATCAAGGTCCACTCGGACAACAGCCTGCACACGAAACAGGACGACAGCAAAGCGTAATGCGAACTGAGACCACAAAAGAGAAAAGAAAAGAGAAGAAAAAAAAGAAAAGAAATCAATCTTCTTCACTAATGTAAATATGTTCAAATATAAACTGAGTTTTTTTTGTGATAAATCTACTGTTGTTTCTATTCGCGCCGGCTCCAGCACTTCTGTTTCCATCTCGCTGTTCTGGAGGATCTCTCAGAGACGACCCGGTGGATTCCCAGGCCGACTTCTACTTTCCAGACACGTCGAGTCCGAGTTCTGTCCAGCATTGTGGCATAAACACTTCAATAAATCATGCTCTTCCTCAGTATTTCTGTCTGGTTTTCCAGCACAAATATCTAAACATTCTTAAATCAAGATACAGGAGAAGCAAAACGACTCTTGTTTACTGAAAAATCCATCAAAGTTAAGTGAGTTTATACTTAAAACATGGAGAAGAAGAAATATATATATATATATATTAGTGCTGTCAAACGATTAAAATATTTAATCACGATTAATCGCATTAATCTCATTGTTAACTCGCGATTAATCACACTTTTTATCTATTCTAAATGTCTCTTGATTTCTTTTTGTCCCATGATTTTTTTCTCATTTTAATGCTCTTATCAACATGGAAAAGTGGATCGGCTTGCTTTGTGCAAATGTTTTTTATTGAAAACAACGTTGGCATATACAGTGTCCAATTTCACACTAACATTCTCACTTGGAGCAAATAATCTCTCACACAATGTAACACTGTCCATCAATAAAAGGGTGAAAGAAATACTGACGAGGTCCTGATATTGACGAGGGGGCGGAGCTTCGCATCAGCTGTGTGTGTGTGTGTGTGTGTGTGTGTGTGTGTGTGTGTGTGTGTGTGCTTGGCCATCAAGTGGTGTTTCAGACTGGACGTGCTGCGATGATGATAGCTCAGTTCACAACGACAAAACACACAGATCACTTTGGTCTCGTCAATGGAACCATTTGGCAACTTTTGAAAAGTAAACTTTCCATTCAGAATCTTATTGGCATCCGTTTCGGCGTCTCGCGCTCGTCATCCACTCAAAACGTAATGTTAACCAACTATTTGTCCGGCTCGCAGACCCAAACGAGTGTGTGCGGCGTGCCTGTTGTCTTGTTTCCGGTCTAGCTAGATCCGCTTGCGCTTTCAAAACGTCCTCGCGCGGCGCAAGCCATTGAAATGAATGGGTTTCATAGCGCCGCGCCGCGTCCTGTTGCAAAAGCATGTGAAAAAAACGACAAAGTTTGCTAGGCCAAAAAGATCGTTTAATAATATGTGATATTTTACTATTGTAATTAAATGTCTACAAATGTTTAAAAATGTATCTGAGATCAGGTAAAAATCATATAGCCGACACTGACACTGGTTCACAGAGATCATACAGGCACAGCAATGACATTTCGAAACAGTTGTGACTTTACGAAGCCTCGTTTACTGAGGCTATGTTTGAATGGAAACGATCTGAAGAGAAAATGCAAAAGTGGCGTTGCGTTATCACTTTTTATTCTGCGTTTAGACGAGCGTTATGGGTGGGAAATGGGCGTGCATATGGTGACCATAGACTGTAAAAAGATGGACGACGTCTCTTCGCTCTCTTCCATTGGTCAGACTCAGAAGTGAAGCCGCCAGTGTCCCGATACATCTTGTACTTGAGTCTGCACAGTAGCGATTTCGGGACCAGACCTGCGCAGTCGCGAGCCGGAAGTAAAGCTGTGAAATCAAGGCCACGCCCTCACTCTCGCAGAATCAATCCCAAGCACACGCTCCTGCACCTTTTTTTTATTAATTATAGAAATTTAGATATTAAATTTAAAGCTCCAATCTCCTCAGTCCTCCGAAGATCCCGAAAAAAAGTCTGTTGGTGCTTCAGTGACTACTTCGCTCAGAGAACCTGTCAATCACAGCTGTCAATCATGACGTCATCACCACCGCATCAAATAACTAACTAAAAACGAACTTATTTTAAAAACAAACACTTGAAATTACATGAGCGTGATAAAAACTACAGTAAATGACAGAAACCATATTTGAAAAAACGATATTTGAAGTGTAATTTAATTGTTTAGTTGGTCACACGTGCTGTTGAGGAGGCGGGGTTTATGAGCTATACTGGGACCGGCCACCGGGGGGCGATCGAGACTCTGGGTTTATGAGCTATACTGGGACCGGCCACCGGGGGGCGATCGAGACTCTGGGTTTATGAGCTATACTAGGACCGGCCACCGGGGGGGCGATCGAGACTCTGGGTTTATGAGCTATACTGGGACCGGCCACCAGGGGGCGATCGAGACTCTGGGTTTATGAGCTATACTGAGACCGGCCACCGGGGGGCGATCGAGACTCTGGGTTTATGAGCTATACTGGGACCGGCCACCGGGGGGCGATCGAGAATCTGGGTTTATGAGTTATACTGGGACCGGCCACCGGGGGGGCGATCGAGACTCTGGGTTTATGAGCTATACTGGGACCGGCCACCGGGGGGGCGATCGAGACTCTGGGTTTATGAGCTATACTGGGACCGGCCACCGGGGGGCGATCGAGACTCTGGGTTTATGAGCTATACTGGGACCGGCCACCGGGGGGCGATCGAGACTCTGGGTTTATGAGCTATACTGGGACCAGCCACCGGGGGGGCGATCGAGACTCTGGGTTTATGAGCTATACTGGGACCGGCCATCGGGGGGCGATCGAGACTCTGGGTTTATGAGCTATACTGGGACCGGCCACCGGGGGGGCGATCGACACTCTGGGTTTATGAGTTATACTGGGATCGGCCACCGAGGGGGCGATCGAGACTCTGGGTTTATGAGCTATACTGGGACCGGCCACCGGGGGGGCGATCGAGACTCTGGGTTTATGAGCTATACTGGGACCGGCCACCGGGGGGCGATCGAGACTCTGGGTTTATGAGCTATACTGGGACCGGCCACCGGGGGGCGATCGAGACTCTGGGTTTATGAGCTATACTGGGACCGGCCACCGGGGGGCGATCGAGAATCTGGGTTTATGAGTTATACTGGGACCGGCCACCGGGGGGCGATCGAGACTCTGGGTTTATGAGCTATACTGGGACCGGCCACCGGGGGGGCGATCGAGACTCTGGGTTTATGAGCTATACTGGGACCGGCCACCGGGGGGCGATCGAGACTCTGGGTTTATGAGCTATACTGGGACCGGCCACCGGGGGGGCGATCGAGACTCTGGGTTTATGAGCTATACTGGGACCAGCCACCGGGAGGCGATCGAGACTCTGGGTTTATGAGCTATACTGGGACCAGCCACCGGGGGGTGATCGAGACTCTGGGTTTATGAGCTATACTGGGACCAGCCACCGGGGGGCGATCGAGACTCTGGGTTTATAAGCTATACTAGGACCGGCCACCGGGGGGCGATCGAGACTCTGGGTTTATGAGCTATACTGGGACCGGCCACCGGGGGGCGATCGAGAGTCTGGGTTTATGAGCTATACTGGGACCAGCCACCGGGGGGTGATCGAGACTCTGGGTTTATGAGCTATACTGGGACCAGCCACCGGGGGGCGATCGAGACTCTGGGTTTATGAGCTATACTGGGACCGGCCACCGGGGGGCGATCGAGACTCTGGGTTTATGAGCTATACTGGGACCAGCCACCGGGGGGCGATCGAGACTCTGGGTTTATGAGCTATACTGGGACCAGCCACCGGGGGGCTATCGAGACTCTGGGTTTATGAGCTATACTAGGACCGGCCACCGGGGGGCGATCGAGACTCTGGGTTTATGAGCTATACTGGGACCGGCCACCGGGGGGTGATCGAGACTCTGGGTTTATGAGCTATACTGGGACCAGCCACCGGGGGGTGATCGAGACTCTGGGTTTATGTGCTATACTGGGACCGGCCACCGGGAGGCGATCGAGACTCTGGGTTTATGAGCTATACTGGGACCGGCCACCGGGAGGCGATCGAGACTCTTTGGCTTCACTTTTCAGGGCTTGTGCGGCACGCTTGATGGTGACGCAAAAGTGTGTGAAATTCGATGTAGCATGCACGCAATACTCGTTTTTACCCTTTTAGACGGGAACCCGACGGTGGAGCGTTTTTAAGATTTCCACTCTGGAGGGTGGTTTCACTTTTTTGTGTTTTTAAGCCCCCAAAAACGGCGTCGCCTTGTAAACTAAAGGCACATCTTATCAAATATTTTTACGTTTTCACCCGCGAGCGTTTTCACCAGCCTAATCACACTGGTTTCGGAAACAAATGATTCGCAAAGGTTTCGAAGCTTAATGAAGTAGGCTATGTCTTGAAATAATCTAGTAAAGACTAAAATACCCATAACAGATTCTTGTTTTTAAGTAAACAACACTTAATATCTTCAGTCATTTTGCCTCTCATGTAAATATATCTTGATTTAGTAATGTTTTTGTATCTGTGCTGGAAGACGAGACAGAAACACTGAGGAAGAACGGGATTATATGCAGTGGTTTCAGACTCTGGGCTTCTCATCTAAATGTGTTCAAGGCTTCATCGGTTTTTGGCTTTTTCGATGTTTTCGTAGGACTTTTCCCAGAATCCCAGTGGATATCTCAACCTTTGGATTATTTTTCCAGGCATGTCCTACGCGCTTTTGAGATGGCGCGTCTCATATATGTCAACGTTTGAAGACGCCATCGGTTTGTATTTCCATCTCGCTTCTCAAAAGAAACCTGGCAAAACTTTGTAGTAAAGTGACTTTGTAGTTTCGATTTGCTCAACTGCCATGATGCCAGATGAAATGCTCTTCTTAATTTATGTTAAATAATTAACGTGTGAGTGTGTGTGTGAGAGAATGGCTTGACGTGTTCTACGCAAATACACTGCGAATGTTTGACCGACGCTTCGTAAGCGCAGTTGGGTTGTACCTGCACTGACTGTGTGTCTCCAGACCTCAAGAGGGCGCTAGAGTTTCCAGGAAATATCTCACATGTGTTGTTATTATTCAGGAAACTGTATTAAACTGTTTAATCTTTAAACGGTTAGTCCATCATGACAGTGATTAAGCTGAAAGAGAAAACTGACTCTGTCGCCCCCTGGAGTCTGATGTTATTTTACTTTTTATTATTTAAATAGTATTTATTAATATTTTTATTTTATTTTTATATTTTCAGTTTTCACTTTAATCTTTTTGTACGTTTTATTAGTT